AATCTCAGCTCTTAAAAGACGGAGACAGACTAATCACTGTAAGTTCAAGGATAGCCTCCTTTACAGAGTGAATTCCAGGAGAGCCAAAAATACACACACAAACACACACACACACACACACATATAAATCCTGTCTCAGAAAGCAAAAAATTAAAATTAAAAAATAGAGGTTAATATAAAGCCATATAAAGATAAAAATACACAAAAAGTCTAGATACTGTATATAATTATGTTCTCTTTAAATTGCTTAAATGCTGAAACAGGAAGAGAAATTGCTAAAAGATAATTTGTTTATAAATGCTTTTAAATTAATCCAAGATAGGTATTTTAAAAATATGTTGACTTCAAAATTGAAGCCAAGAAGTATATTACTTTTTAAGAGAGGTTTTAATTATTTCTACAGAAATGGAGAGGCTGGGTATTCATCCGAGTTAAACAAACAAATCAGGTTTGATCAAGAAAGATTCTCTAAAATATCTCAAATAGGAGCAGATGGTCCAGAAGTCTGAGTTTCACATCCAAAACTGATGTTTTGGTGCTGCCTGAGATGATCAAGCGTCACAAAATTTTCCAGTCAGGACTTGGCCATAATCCTAAATTTCCTTAGTTCCCTGTAAGATTAGCAGCACCCATAGTCAGCAAAAAAGTAGCCTAAAAAACTATGCCCACGTTACCCAAAAATAGACTATAGATACTTTCTTTTGTTTAAATGTTGGTTGCATGTTGTGAAAAAGAATGGTAAAAAATAAGTAAACCAAAGATATTAAATTCTGAGTGCTTGTTTAAAAAAAAGAAAAGGGAAAAGTACTGTGGGACGATGGTCTTTTATTCTGTCACTTGTATTATTTTTAATAAAATGTTTATTGGCCAATAACCAGACAGGAAATGTAGGTGGGGCAAAGAGGTAGAAGGCAGAGATGGGGCAATGAGAACTCTGGGAAGAGGATGCTGCAGTCTACAATCATGACTAAGATACAGAGGGCTGAAGATGTGACTGCCTCACCAGAAAAGGTACCAAGCCGCATGGCTAATGCAGACAAAAGTTATGGGCTAGTATAAGTTATAGGAATTACTAAATAAGAAGCCTGAGATAATGGGCCAATCAGTTTATAACTAATGAAGACCTCTGTGTGATTCTTTGGGACTTAACGGCTGCAGGGCCTGTTGGGACAGAAACCTCAGTTAACAAACATGGTGGGTAAGAAGAATCAAAAAAGAATAGTACAGTTTGGAAAATGTGAACTCTAAAGGGTAATCTCTGCATATGTAAAAGTTCATATTTGCAAAGTGTATAGAAGATGGGGCTCTCCACCTACCAGTAAGCAGCCTCCACATAGCAGGAAGTGGCACCTACTAAACATGAACATCTTTAAAGTCATACTCCAAACTCTAGAAAAAGAAGCAATGTACTCTACCCCATCTATTTCTTCACTCTGTTGTTACAGTGTCTTGATATGAAAGGAAAATTACTCAGCTGATGTGGACTGTGAAAACAGAGTTTTGTGTCAATTACTGTGTGGCTCAATCTAAGCTCTGACTGTGATCACAGTCTGAGTAACCAACTTATAAATTTATTACACCCTGATCTCTTTCATAAGGTGAAATTGTGCTGTTCATAACAACTAGGTTTCTCTAACTCCCTCTACCTGAATGATTGAGAATGACTTTGATTCACTTTGGTTTGATAGAGATGGAAATAAGAACAACTCGCACAAACATATTCAAAAGAGCAATTAAGAAGGCTGTGGAGGAACCTTTCTCCATGAGTTTTTGGAGTACTCAGTGCATTCAAAGAAGAAGCATGGTTGACAAACAGGTTTAATGCTAAGAATTGCCATAGAGGGTAAGGGAGAATTCAAACCAGTGCACGAACATTTAAAACTTTGTTGTCAATCGTGGGGTAGTGAGGAAATACAAACCACAAACACATTAACAACATACATACATACATACATGCAGGCAAAACATTGAGACCCTGCAGAGAGAAACAAAACAGTGCAAATGGTTTCCAAAAGAAAATAAAACCTGTGTACTTTGCCAAGATGCATTTATAAAAAAGGGAAAACAGCAAAGCATATGGTAATAATATAGATTATACAACATCTACTGTCATCAATGCCTGCATGTCACATAGCTCCATTATTAGTAGATTTAATATCACAGAGAGTAATTAATCTGATAAGAGGATATCCTCACTACCATAATTTAAGCCTTCCTATATGATATCCCCTTGCCTGCTTAGAACCATTCTTATTTGGGGTTTCTGTTGCTGTACTGAAATATCAGGACAAAACGCAATTTGGAGTGGAAGGGGCTTGCTTTGGTTACAGTTCAACACTGCTACTCAGCAATAAAGGAAGGGAGGACAAAGCAGGAACCCAGAGGCAGGAACTCAAGCAGAGACCATAGAGAATTTCTGCTTAATAGTTTGCTTTCCATGGCTTGCTAAGCCTGATTCCTTATACAACCCAGAACTACCAATGTAGCAATGTGTTGACATTGGTTGCTGTCCTGCCCAGTTTCACAGCTGTTCAGTCCCAAAGAAACATACAGATGCCTACAATAATTATAAACCAGTTTGTCTATTATCTCAGACTTTTTATTAATTAACTCTTATATCTTCTATTAACCCATAATTTTTGTCGATGTTAGACATGTGTGGCCTTGGTACCTTTCATTAGTGGGGCATTTTTATCTTGGTTTCTTGGTGACAACTGTAGGATGAATTTTTTCCCTTCCCAGAATTTTCCATTTCTGGTTCTCCTGCCTATACTGGCCAATAAATGTTTAATTAAAGAAAAACAAATGACAAATCCTTACAGGGTACAAAACTAATGTTCCATAGTACTTTCTCAAAAAAAAAAAAAAGAACTCTGTTATTAATCTCCTTCCTTTAGCATTTTTGTTTACCATTATCTATGACAACTTGTAACTGAAATTGTAAACAAAGACAAACATCCATAATCTAATTTTTGTGAATGCAGGCAGAGTTTTGTAGGCTATGTATTGCTGATTTGTTGTGTTGATAGTCTAATGGGGCCATAAAGAAACATTAGGATTATGGTCAAACTATGACTGGAATATTTTATGAGTCTGGATAATCTGAGTCAGCAGTATTTAGACTGGTCTGGTAGCAGAAATCAGAAAAACTTCCAACAAATGTCCTCTGAAATTTGGATAGATTGGGCCATTCACTCCCATTGGAGATATTGTAGAAACTTCGTTGATTAAATCTATTTCTTTTTAACTCAGAATGAATCCATTGCCCCCTTATTTTTGTGGAAACAAAAGTGAAGTCTCTACTAAAAGTGACATATTTTTACTTAAATATTAAAACCAAGGCATTTAAATATATTTGTTGGATTAATCCAGCAGCATGTATAATCAAATAACTTTAGTATCTGATGCTCCTTCCACAGCGACCAAGCAATTTAAAGGAAACACAATAACATATACTACCCAAATTTTTGTGTATTTTTGTCTATATGTAGGGGTATTTTAAATTCAATATTTTTATTTTTATTTTTTTTTAATTTGTGTATTTGAAGACAGGATTTTTATGTGTGTTTTTGGATGTCCTGGGACTAACTCCACAGACCAAGTTGTCCTTGAACTCACAAAGATCCCTCTACTTCTGCCTCCCAGGTTTTGGGATTAAAGGTGTGTGGCCACTACACCCAAGTTTTCTCTTTCTTTTTTTTCCAAAGGTTTTTATCCTTTTCTTAAAATCTCCCAAGTCTACATATATTTTTAAACACACTGTAAACTGTATAGAAGGTTCTTTGTCTGAATATATCTTTAGATTCATACAAAAGGAAAGAAAATAATAATTTTTAAAGCAGATACAATAGCAAAGACTTCTGAAATATTATCTGTTAACACGGCAGAATATTATTGACCCTTGTTCCTTGCTCCACCTCAGCCCATCCCAGTCTTCCCACTCCATCTCAGCCTATTTAAGTACCTACCAGATACAATTAAATGAGATCCTGCTTCAACAGACTCCTGACTCAGTGTTTTGTTTCTCCCCTGTGGCCAGGGGAGAGGTCAGAGTCATCAACCCTCACCATTCTGCTCATCCCCAGGGAAAGTCTAGCACGTCCAAATATGCCCCCACCCTTTCTGCCAGAGAACCCTGCACTAGGGTACTGGAGTGCCCATGTTGAGACTAATTTCTCCTTTGCACAGAATGAGAAATTATCTTAGAAAAAGTTAGTGTATAAAGTTTGTTTGTAACTCAATTTCTATGAGAAAGGCAGACTAGAGATATATATTCTTGAAGAAATGAATAAACACAAAGAATATAATGGTACATGAGCTAAAGTATTTTGATGAAACTTCTAGAAAGTTGATATCAAAAACATGGCATGCACAAGCTGAACCTATGTGCTGAAGAGAGTAAAATGAGTAAATGAAGAAATGGACCACAGGCTGTGCAGATTGGTTTTACTTACTTTTTATTTCAAAGTATATATCAATAATACATAGCAAGCTATTGCTTCATGATAATTTCATCCAAGTGTATTGTATGCTCCTATATTATTGATGCCTTATCTTCTCATCTGTTTCCCTACTTCTGCTTCCTTGTTCTTTCCCTTGATTAAGTAGTTCATGATTTACTCTGGTAGCACTTGCTCCTTGATTTCACTTGAAAGAACTGTTAATATTTGCCTTTGTAAGACTGTCTAATTTCTCTTTGTGACCTGTGTTGGCATTTTCTGATCAACGATGTCATTTGAAGAATTGCAGTGTTTACAGAAGAGAAGCAACAAACAAGAGGTTGGAGCAGAAAACACCGATTGCTCCATGACATTTCATGGAATTTCATCACATAATTGATACTTCATGTCTCTGGGAATCAACGATTTCTTACAGAATGTAGGGCTAAGAACTGCTTCTGCATCTCAGACTGTGAAAGCAGCACAGTTTTTCTGAGATGGTACATGTTTCAAATAAGTTCTCATGTGATATGTCCTCAAGAAAATTTACATGAGGAGATCAAAACCAGTGTCCCGTGTCGTGGAGCTTGGAGCGGTTCGTTACGAAAAATGACCATGGAGAACAACGAAACCGCAGTGGATTCCAAATCCATTAATAATTTTGAAGTAAAGACCATACATGGAAGCAAATCAATGGATTCTGGAATGTATCTGGACAATAGTTACAAAATGGATTATCTTGAAATGGGTGTGTGTATAATAATCAATAATAAGAACTTTCATAAAAGCACTGGAATGACACCTCGCTCTGGTACTGACGTTGATGCAGCCAAATTCAGAGAGACATTCATGAGCCTGAAATACGGAGTCCGGAATAAGAATGATCTTACTCGTGAAGAAATTGTGGAGTTGATGGATAAAGTCTCTAAAGAGGACCACAGCAAGAGGAGCAGTTTTGTTTGTGTGATTCTAAGCCATGGTGACGAAGGAATCATTTTTGGAACCAATGGCCCCGTTGACCTAAAAAAGTTAACTAGTTACTTCAGAGGTGATTACTGCCGAAGTCTAACGGGAAAACCCAAACTCTTCATCATTCAGGCCTGCCGGGGTACGGAGCTGGACTGTGGCATTGAGACAGACAGCGCAACTGATGATGATATGGCGTGCCGGAAGATCCCGGTGGAAGCCGACTTCCTGTACGCTTACTCCACAGCACCTGGTTACTACTCCTGGAGAAATTCAAAGGACGGGTCCTGGTTCATCCAGTCACTTTGCGCCATGCTGAAGCTGCATGCACACAAGCTTGAGTTTATGCACATCCTCACTCGCGTTAACCGGAAGGGAGCGACAGAATTTGAGTCCTTCTCCCATGACTCCACTTTCCATGCAAAGAAACAGGTTCCATGCATTGTGTCTATGCTCACAAAAGAACTCTACTTTTATCACTAAGAGAATGAGTGGGAGGCGTGTTTCTGTTTCTTTTGTTTTGAATGCCAAATGAGGAAACCATGTCAGGGAGACTTCAATTCCCTCTCGTTTAAATCAGATGCGATGCTCCAGATGGTACTTTGAACCACAGCACCGCCCTAGCAATGCAACCACAGTGCAGCTACCTCAAGTTCAACATCAGGTAGTTGAAATGGATTTTATAATCAGGAACAAAAAAATGTCAATGTCAAGTATCATTATAGAGGAAATTACCGATTTACCCTTTTGATAATTTGGTGATGCTATAACTTTTGAGATAATTATGAAGAAGTTAAACTTTGGGGTGATAATTTTATACTCCCTATACACTTTAAGAATCTCATTTTAGTTTTTGTTAAACTATCAATGGTGTCAAATGATGCCTTAGAACTTGAATCCACGGGCAGAGTCAAAGGCTTGAACCTTTATTTTGGAAGTGATATATGGAAATGAACTGTTAGGCCACCTTAGCACTCATTGTAGCTACTGGGTATGTGATGTTTGTCCTGAGCATGTATTTGTTGTTAAAAAAAAATCATGTTTTCTTACTGAACAAAACTTGAGTATTTATGTGAGAGGAAAACATGAGCGAATTGAGTTGACTCTCAGAGGCTATACCATACATCAGTAGTGGACATGACGGCAAGGTGCTAAGTCTACCAGCATTTGTTTCTTAATTCTTCTTGTACAGATCAGCTAGGTTTTACAGACCAGCTGAACATCTAGCGAATGGTTATGTAACAGCCTCACACTGTTGATTATTAGAATGAAATAAATTCTGCAGGAACATACTAAAATACCAGTTGTAAAATAGAGTGTAAGAAGGTAAGTGAATCTCCTGTGACTGGAGAAAGATGGCTTGAGCCAGGGCAGACATGGCAGAGCCACGGACACAGCTTCAGAAAGGACTGCCAGCTCGATCCACCTCATGGGTGCTCTTTTGCATGGATGATGTCCCCAAGGTCCAGGTCACCATGTGAGAAAGTGAGCCAGATCAGAAACTTCTGAGAAAGGACTTTCCCAAAGTGGTGAGTCTCCAGAAAGATCCCTAGGCTCCATGTCCGGAGTCTAAGCATGCTGGCTTTTCTGTTGGAGTTTACAAGAAAAGCAAACGAATGGTGATATTTGTATTGTCACCAGAAATGAAAGGACCATGGCACACAGGACTTGGGAAGCATCCAGTTGCAGGCCCTGCAGCCCACGTGGGAAGCTGCAGAGTGGAGTCCAGCCCCTCAGAGAGGCTGTGCTCCAGGCTTCCTCATTCATGAAGGTGCTGAGCCATTGCTGGCTATCCTGATGTGTCCAGCATTTCACGTTAGCGTTCTTTTTGCTCAAAGAAAGGAAGGAACTCACGTAATTGGTAGATTCTCATTTAGACTGCATCTATTAACTCCCAGTTAATGTAGCATGTGATGGTGTTTTAAAGTGTGTTCCCGTGTGTCAATTTTGTAAAAGTTTGTTGCATTTTTATTTCAAAACATAAAATTCAGATTTAAAATTAAAAAAATTTACATGAGATTAACTATAAAGGTTTATGATTACATGTACTTCTGGAAGAAAATACAGTCAGATTAACATGAGTTTGGCTTCTGACTGCTGAAAAGCCCTTTCTGCGAGAGGCCAATTGTCAATACCTGTATTTCTTTACAAACAAAGCTGGTGGTTTGGTTATGCAGGGCATGAATCATTATTAGCATGGTAATTTACAGACACCTTCTTCAAACTCTTAAACAGTGATTTTCAATCTTCAAAATGCTACTAACATTTACTATAGATTTTCATGTTGCTGTGACCCAACTATAAAATTATTTTTATTACTTCTTCAGAATTATAATTTTTCTACATTTATAAATAGCAACATATGTAACTAATAAGCAGGATATCTGATATGCCAAAATTTATTAAAAAGTCCATCAAACCTTGAA